TAACATAAATTTGGTTTCTTCAAGTGGTTCCAAAACCAAAGGCAGTGACACCTTCATTCGAAATGACACTACAAAATAAAGGGTGACCTTTGTATAAGGTGCCCTGCTTATACAATTAGAATTAAGGTGCACCTTTAGAATTTGTTTATAGATGTAGTTTCCTTGTGACTGCTCAAAAATCTTTTTTTGTCCCCAGTTATGATATTCAAAATTTCAAAAATGAAATGGATCAAGTCGGTATATAATAGATAGTCTATATAACTTGTTACAAGATACACTACTTTTAGGATTTGAAATTCTCTTTTTCTCTTTATATCTATATATCTCGAGGTCAAAAAGATCAATTAGAGGGTTCTTCAACATTAGAACACTCTCTTTGAGAGGATTTTTGTGGTGCATTTTTTTTTAATAGTACAAAGTTGTAACCTTATTTAAGGTTTTTCCTTAAAAAAAATACAAATTCTTTTGGTCATCCAAAACACCCATCATATTCTTTCACCTAAGGCAGCCATAGACCTTCGTCTATGATTTGCTCTTTCACATAATTGAGAAGCTAGATTTCGAAATTTGTGATAACAAAGGAGATAAAAAAGCATAGAATTGTTTTCCATTTGATAATAAAATCGAAGGAATGTAATAGGTAAAAGGGATGCTTTCTATGCTTCTTCTACAACATAAAACTTATATACTTCTCCTTATCCAACCGCCCATTCTGAATGGAGGGCTAAGATTGCCCCAATCACAATGTCACGTCTCTATACTATTCTATTTTTAATTTTTTTCTATAAATTATTTTGACACCAAATTTTGGACTCCAACCCTCTATTAAACTCACACTAGTGAAATATATATATATATATATATATATATATATATAATATTTTCAATAAAATAAAATGACAAAAATACCCCTAAAAACTTCAAGGGGTATTTTGGTCATTATATTTTATCGAAAAAATATTTTTAATATTTTATATAGGTGCGTCCCAATGAAAATATAGCATGTATCAAATTTTATATTCATAAAATTCAATAAAAAAAAAACTAAAAAAAAAATATTTAAGATGTCGGATCTAAGATCAAACGGTGAGTGGCTCTTTTGATCAAAATTGGACGGCTGGATGGTAGAGAAAGATCTTCTATGCTGTAGAAGAAGTATAGAAACCTTTCCCATTGCTAAATAGAAAAACTTGAGTTAGATATGATGAATTTTCATAGAAGCACTCACCACGTGCTTTGGAAACGTCTTTGAAGGCTTGGATACGGCACTTTTCACAGTTCACAGTCACCTCGATCACCACTTCTCGCTGAAAAAAGTCCAAAAATAATATTTGTCAATGTTTTTTCAAAGTATTTTATATATATATTTACTCACATATAAAAGCACAAATATACATGCATACATACACTAAAAAATTAACTTAAGCAAGTAATGACAGTGTAATAGAAAGAACTGCTGAAAAAAAAAATGCCATTAATCTGAAAAATCTTCATATCAACTTCACTTAAATAAAAAATAAAAATAAAAAAAATAAAAAAAAATATTTCCTTTAATATCAGCTGCAAAAAAAAAAATTTAATACAAATTACAGAGAAAATAGGGAAAAAAGTGGAATCCCAAAATGGTTTCAATTATTAGGGCATTTGTTCGACTCATATTGATTCCCCTTTCCTGAATCATCCCTTTTCCCATTGAAACAAGATGATTTTTTCGGGAAAAGCCTGATTCATAAGTAATTAGGTTGGTTTCAGATGATTTATAGAATTAGATCGGACGATTTTGATCGGAAAAAACCTGATTCATAAGTAACTAGGTTGGTTTCGAATGATTTATAGAATTAGATGGGGCGATTTTGATCGGATCTGACGACGTTGAAACAAATGGTTTTCAGTAGGACAAAAGAAAAGCATAAAAACTCGATAGAATTCTCTTGCTCAATGGCAAAAAATGCTCTATATGCATATGCACTAGCATATAGACGCATTTGTGTGCACACACACTTTTGTGCTCACATGAGGATCTTATGCAATGGGATGGTTCAGATATTCCGAAGCTCCATACGACTTCTTAATCCGAACCATCCTTTCCCAAATGCATCAAAATCCGCATGCCCAGCCGATACCTTCATGTTTCAAGAACTCTTCCTCTATATGTATCTCTGAAGAGAAACTCTTAGGATACCCCCACTTCTATTGAGGACTCAATCCCATAAAATCAACACTGATGAGGCCCTCTATATATAGCTAGCAAGTGGTAATCCTAGTCTTGAAAGACCCTCAATTTCACTTATAGTCTAGACTTCTTCTCTGCCTTTTACCTCACGCCATTAATGGCCCTAGAGATGAAACTACATGTTCCTCTTGTACGAGAATTAAAGACTCACAAGTGTCTTTTAAACGTTTGAATAGTCCCAATCACGCAAGGAGAGGTACCCCAATGGGATGAAGGTGCGGATCCTTTAAAGGACAATTAATGGACCATGATAAACAAAGCCAAAATATCATATGCTCCCACCGAAAGCCAAATTTAATATTCACCATTTGATGTGGAATTGGTTGGCTACATTTACTTCATTGACCAAGCTTAAAGTTCAAAATATATTTTTTCGAACTTTGTCACACCCAGGCAATTGTATCTCGGTCACCTCCTTGTATTAAATGTATATGGTCATATTGTACACAATCCCATATAATTTCTATAAGCAAGCCATCAACCTCAAAAAAGAAAAACACAAACTGTATGTATTCTGTGTCCGCTTAAGGAAAAGAACCCCTGAGCATGTATAATTATTAGACTGCAGATTTAAGGGTTGAGGAACTCAAAAATCAAACTTCTTCCCTTTCAACATACTCATTTGGCAATTTCCCTAAATGGGTTTTTAGCCAAAGGGACTAAGTTTACTATGCATGCTCATAAACAAATAAATAAATAAGAACAAGGATGGGTCCCATACAAATTTCAGGACTATTTTTCCTCAACAAGATGATTGCTCTCTCAATATTTACGGTAGGATTAAGGATCGAATGCTGGGAAGCTCTACCATGTCATTGCATTCGTTTGTTCAGTTCTTTTGGTCCCTTAGGGAGTAGGGTCAAGAACAAAAACAAAAACAAAAACAAGAACAACAAAAATAAAAACAACAACAACACCAACAACAAAAACAACAACAATAACAACAACGACAACGACGACAATACTAACAATAGTAATAATAATAGTCCAAGCCGATTTGGCAAACTTCTTAGCTGACCAATGTCAATGTTATGCGTACTTTTCTTGGAAATTGCAGTTGATGCCTTAATCAAAGTGATTCTACATCCAAATGGCAAATAACACCTGGTTATCCAAAAGGCCAATTTCACCATAAATTATGGGATCCTGCTAATGTGACGCATGACTAAATATTAAACTAGTAAATTATAAAAAACATATCCCATCAAGTAGGCCCATTCCCTTATATGTGCTTTATCACAATTAATGCCCAAGTTTGGTCTTTGCAAAATTAACCTTGGATCCCTAAATAATCTTTGAATAACAGACTTGATTCAATACTCGTGCTCATTCTAACATGATCCCAAAATTTAAGATCATGAAATCGTCCTAAGTAGGTCTTTTACTTGATGCGTAAGTCTACGCTATGCTCTCATGACTACATGTTATGCACTCATATATTTAATAGAAAAGGAAATAAAATTAGAGCTTAGCAACCTCCAATTATGGTATTAATGCTTGATTGAGATCTTTAATTAGATAAGGTTAAAATTCCAAGATAAATAAAAAATTTTTTGAAAAAACTCTAAAAAAAATTAAAAAAAATCACAAGAGTTCTATAAATACCCCTTTCATAACCCAAAAGGAAAAGACAGGAAACTACAAAGAAATCCCTTATAAATTCATGAAATTAGAAAAAAAGCCCAAAATACCAAAAATAGGAAAAAAACCTTAAAAAATTCTTAAAATTTTAAAAAAAAATCTCAAAAAAATTAGAAAAAATCTTAGAAATCATATTCAACCTATAGAGATAAAAAAAACCTTAAAAAACTAAAGAAATTCTCCTCCAATCCCAAAAAAAGCCTAGGTAGACCCTACCTAAAATTCTAAGCTTTTCCCCTTGTCTTAGGAACCCTAGATCTAGGTCAAAAGAACCTTAGATCTACCAATTCCAGCAATCAAATGCATCCAAAAAAAGAGATGGTGGCATAAATCGGAAGAGCGGCCTAATCCAAGCCCAAATCTCCGGGTTTCGAGTCCCTAGAGGTAATTATATCTTTATTTGCTTAATTTAGTTTGTTTTTCATCATTTAATTATCTACTTTATTTTATTTTTTTTGGAAAACTAATTCATCATTATATTTACTTAAATTTATAAGCATTTTTAGGTCAAAAAGCGGATTTGGAGCTGGCGTTGCCAGTGGACTCAGAAAAAGACCGGATCTATATAGATCTAGGATTTTTGTAAGACCATAATTCAAACGACCCCGCTTTCTTTATCTTTTAAAAAATAATACAGTTTTTGTTAAGATTTGAGCAGATCTCATCACAGAGATAGACGCAGATCTGAGTGTAAACAGTTTGGCGCCCACCGTGAGGCACCTTGAACTTCAGATCCGTATTTTAGACTTAAAAAACTTCTTCTTCTTTTTTTCTCATGTCTATTTTTTCATAAAAAATGACAATAAAAATAAAAAAATAAAAAAAAAAAGAAAACAGAGGGTAGATTTGAAAAGATTTCTTTTTTATTATATTTGATCTTTTCTTTCAAGAACTTATTTTTTCTCTTTCCATACAAAATTTAGGATTTTTTTTCTCTTAATCTTTATGATCATGTAGATCATATTCTTTTAGATCAATT